TATATGCCGAACAGTTTCACTTACAAACTGGCTGAAAAGCTGAGTAACTAAATAACAAACTAATTTCCTATCCACCTAATCAACTAACAAACCTTGTACCAACAGACTGAACAAGTATTTAGACAACGATCTGCCTAACTTATTAGCTTACTGATTTAGTCACTCACTCACTCACTGACTAACTAACTAACACACTACTTGAAATAAATAATCACGTTTCAACTGTTTAACTAACGCGGAACTCAATAACTAAACAATTAATCAATTAAATAAGCATCCAACTTCCTAACTAGGCTGGAACCAGCTGAATCAAAATGTGGCTATCACACTAACTATGTAACTCACTCACAAACATTTAATTAACTGCCAAACTATATAACTATTCATCTAACTTTATCCTGGACAAATAACCTTACACAATCTAAACTAATACCCAACTTACTTATTTAATGGCTCACCTATTCACCTGCCTATGTACTTACACACTCACTTGGTTATTTGCTTACTCAATCCCATGCTTAATTAATTTATCACTCTACGTGGGAACAGTGAAGTCTAATACACTGACACTTATGTGAATTATCCTGTGTTATTCGCAAATTAAACTTTAAGAAATTTAATGTGTGGAAATGGTTTCAATGAAATCACACAGGTGTCCAGGTAATTACAAGCAAGTGTTACTGTGTCCTCAACTTTCTGTTGTAAACCTCATATGAGATTTTCACGCCGTAACAAAAAATGCACATTAATATAAGATGTTCAGAAGTGCATCCTATTTCCCACACACTTTCTCTCACTGTTCGCCCCTCTCTGTCACATTCTCACATTCACTGGTCACCTGTAGAGTATAAATAGTGTCGTGATTTTTCAGTTGTTTGCTGTTCAACTGAACATCGCTGCACACCAATAACACGGTTGAGAAACATTGTCTGATACTGGCGTTTGTTTGGACGTTGTTTCAGTGTAAGTGATTTTCAGTGTTATCACGTAATTTTGTATTGTATATACCGCCCTATATTTTTCTATGATTCCTAAGTTCCGTGTTTGATCAGGAGACGATACTGTGCATATTTCTATTCAATTCAGGAGAGACACAACCACGTCGTTTTGATGCCTCCTGTGTCTTATCTTGATGTGGTTGGACAATATAGATGACTATTTTCAATAACACTGAGTTATTGATGTTGATAGATTAGAGTGTGAAGGGCGTCTGTGAGTGATTACATTCTGCAGCGCGTACTTTCTTCACAACCATTTGTGATTTCACAAGTGATGCACGAAATAAATACCCTGACCACCACCTCCGACTGTTCGTTGTTCTAAAAACTGAATTTTTCGAGGTTTGGGACACCTACGAGTATGTTTAAATAAATCTGTATTGAGAACAGTTCAATATGAGACCACGCCGTCCAAACAGGACATAGAGCTAACGTTGAAGAGTCTTTTTTATCCTCTGTTGGGTAGAAAATAAACTTCCAAAACTGTCTGAGGTACCAAATACGCAAAAGAGAAGAGGCTGTTACAGTTTGCTTAAAACAACTAGAGCTATATGTTCCAAAGAAACAACTCCGGCCACTGCTGCCTCCCCTTAACCTACTATGGAACCTACAAATTCATTCATTCCTTAATGTCATCATGATAAAGTTATCTGATATTCATTCCGGTGTTATGCTGATGTATATTATCACTGACAGGTGCTATTTAACTGTAATATATTCATCTCATTTCATTATTATAGTAGTAATGACGTTATCATTAGTAACATTTTATATTCTTTCTCTATAATATGTTCTGCAATCTAGAAGTTAGGTCATCTCACCTCATCTGTAATCGATTATGGAGATTCAAATTGCTCCTAGAGCCAATCTTTACTTCCAGAGATTGATGAGTCCTCCCTCCTATGTATGTGCCTACATGCACGTTTAAAATGGTAAATACAAAGGGATATGACATTACTTTTCGCATGTTCTAAGTGCTCAGATGGATTTATAGGCTTCACGTACCTACTTACTCTGATCTCAGCTGCATATGAAGTCTTTTTAACGGTAGTGTTCAATCTTTGTCCCTTTAACAATCTGCTGTGATCATCCATATAGGGCAGCTTGATTTATACTTGCTTCTTTGTGTTGAATTGGAAAGTGGGTATTGATGTTCTGACTTCCTTATTATCAACCAGAGTTTGTGTCAGTTTTCTTTCTTCATCAGTAAGTGTGTCTTATGTGCACATTCGTTGGATTTCGCTGAAGAGCCACTTCACTGAGGCTCTACTGTATAGGATAGGACAGAAACTGTGATAATTAGGATGCTGTCTTGTCTAGGTAGGCTTTCTGTAAATGGGTCGTTTTGGTGATCCAACAGGCCCTCGACCAATTCATATATCTAGGGGAGATGAACAATTATCTTTCTTCAACGAATTATTCATACATTGAATCGTTTCCTCACACTAATTAAGTCATCACAGCTACTGCCCCTTTTTACTAATTTCCGATTAGTCACTCCTTCTGGATTACGCCTAACATTGTGCATTACGCTTTCGAAGACAAATGTCATCGTTATATGTTTGGTCTTATGAATTGTGTGTTAAATACAATTGAGATTGATCCTATGAAAATAAATCGTTGAAAAGAAAGTTTTCTTCGACGTTTATGCCTTTTTCTTAATTATCTTTGCCTTGTATAAACCCAAGTGACATGCCACTCTGAACTTCATTTATTCAGGTTCATATTGAACTAGCGAAACAAGGCTTGTCGATTGAGATTATAGTCTCGTCTAAATATCTTCCATCAAGTGGTACATTTATGATTCAACTTATTGATAATCTCTCAAATGTACGACATATAGGTATCTGATGAAAAGGACGCTAATCGACTTCAAAGAGCAACACCATCAAACTGGCGGATGCGAATGCCTTCGAATTTGAACCTGACATTGCTAGTACATAGGACTTTGATTTCTTTTAAATAAAAAAGGATACGGATAAGAGAATTAGAAAATTATGTGCATAACTGTAATCTTTATATAAAATGTCAAGTGTTATAAACAAAGGAACACAAAAGAATAATATTCTGACCAAGTTGTAACTATATGCATCATCATCACAGAAGAAAGCATGGAATGGCAATCAAACCTCTACCATAACTTTATAGACTTTGAGAAGGCCTTCGACAGCGTTGACCGTGAAGTAATTTGGAAACTACTCGAGTATTATGGCGCACCCCAAATATTCATCAACCTTATTCAACAGCTGTACGACAACGGCACATGTCAAGTGATCCACAACGGAAAACTCAGCAAGGCGTTTGCAGTAAACACAGGAGTCAGACAAGGGTGCTTATTATCACCAATCATATTCGTAATTGTGGTGTATTGACTGGATTATGCGTCAGACAGTGGGAAACGAGAAACGGGACAGGGATATCCTGGGCCGACGTGAAAAACCTAGAAGACCTGGATTTCGCGCGTGGATGATTTAAGTTTGATGTCACTGTCACAAAATCGAAGACTTACAGGCGAAAACCGACAAACTGGTCGAAGAAGCAGCCGGCGAAGACAGGACTCCAAGTGAACATAGAAAAGACGGAGGTTATGAAAATAATTAACCAACAACAACAATAAGAGCAGCAACATCCAGCGCCAATCACCATCAACGGGAGAGATTTGAAAGAGGTTACTTCATTCATTCACTTATCTTGAGAGCATTGTCTCAACTACAGAAGGAACGGATGACGATGTCAAATCGCGAATCGGGAAGGCGAGAAACACATTCATCAATCAACTGAAACCAATCTGGAAACCTTCGTCACTCAGCATCAATAACAAAATTCGGTCCAATTTTCAATACAAACGTCAAGTCAGTCAGTTCTTCTATACGGATTAGAAAATTGGCGAGTGGGTCACAAAGAATATTTCCACCAACAGCCTGTTGCAGACCATTATCAACAACAACTGTCTTCGCTCCATACTGAAGATCAGACGGCCGGAGAGAATCACCAACAAGGAATTATGGGCACAAACAAACAAAACAATCGCCAACTAATCGCCCAACAAATATGCAGGAGAAAGTGGAGATCGATTGGATTTTTGCTGAGGAGGCCGCTGAGGAGGAGGGTGACATGGAGGAAATCACGTGAAGAGGAGTTGAAACAGTATGGTTGCAGGTGAAAAGTACAGCAGAAGAGAGAAGCAAGTGAAGACGTGCAGTCAAAGCCCTATGTTCCATTAGGAATCCAAGGGAACAATAATAATAATGATAATGAATAAAGAGTTCACATCAAAAGAATGCACATTTTTTAATGATATTAACACCATGAAGGTAATTATTTTGTTCATATGCATCTTTCAGTAGATATATACAGAATCGCCTTAAAACTGGGTCCAAAAATTTCAGTTGACCTTTGGTAAGTTTTTGTGTTGGGGATCTGTGCATTGATAATACCGGAGGTAGAGGATTACTAGGTTTATGTGTTTTCGGTAAACCATATAAATATTTATATATATAGGAATTCGCATTCTTTCGGATCTACAGAGTCAAATGTATCATTGCTTATTGCATATAGACCAAGAGTTTCACGAGTTTCGTACTTTCGCATAACCCCCTTTCAAGGCTTTGAAATGCTGCGAAGTGAAAATGCTTTTCTCTTCCGTATTGTCGTTTGGAAACTGAAGAGCTATATCCACCGTGTTGGCTTCAGACCAACCTCGAACTTCATCAGCTGTTGAAACAAGGGGTTTTCTTGAAATCAGCATGCATAGCTAACTCCATATATTCCATACGAAGAACATGAAATTCAGGTCCATGGTATAAATTTTCGTTCTGATGAGTAAACAATGTTATATTATTATCGATGCATATAACTGTAGAACCTGGAGGAAAGGAAGTTATGGAAAATAATATGCTTCAATAATGTTCATTATATGATCATTAAACAGACATTGATCTAAGCACCTTTAATTCAGTAATTTCATTGTCGTTTTCCTTTGTCTTGTCAATTTCATTGTAGTGTTTTACGTCCTATGCAATGCAATATCTCCGGCTGAAAGAAGTAAGTCGTGCTGACAGTGTAGTGTAGAAGACTTGAATTTGTTTCCCACCACATCGGGTTGCCCCTGTGAAGGCTGCCTAAAATTATTTTTTTTCTCATGAATCGAATTTGACAAGCTATCATCTTCGTGTATATATCTATATAACCACAGGTATACATGCACAGAATGCTAATGTAACGAGAGGAAACTTGGAAACCGGAATTTCTTATCCACATTAGAATTCGGATAAGTCAAAGGATGGTGGTTATTTCTGATTAGTTTCTGATTCGCTCAAGGCCAGACATGTTGTCCAATGGAGTTATTCGACGTCCACAGCGTAAAGTGAAGCCACGTTTGAGGGATGAACACTTTCATCTCTGTAACGATTCACTTGAAATTTTTGATTTCACTTTTAGCCGCTTTCAATCAATCTAGGTTATACTGTGATGAGAGCAGGCTGCTAGCCAATCGGTAGACATTTATCGACGCTGATTTGTAGACATTTATCGACGCTGATTGGTAGACATTTATCAACGCTGATTGGTAGACATTAATCTAGGCTGATTCAACAACCAATCACAGCAGACTTAAACGTGGGCAAATATGATTCGCAGATAAATGGCTCTACTTTCCAAGAAATATCGAAAACAACCAATTAGAAGACTGCCTTTTTCTGCTTGCATAAGCCTTATCAATGTACATAAAATATATATAAATACGCGTTGATTTTCGTAATAAAACGATCTGTTGCCTGGCCCTAGTCTTCTGTTGTTACAATACTCCACAAAATATTGCTGTTTGTTATACTCTATTCGATTGGTTATGTTTCAGGTGATGCAGACATCAAGTGGTAGAATCCATTATATCGCAATGACTCATTTGACTTACGGATTATGAATAGTAAGCGACAAGAAAGGTTGAGGACGAAGCATTCTGCCACTCTGATGCTCAAATATTCTGAACGAAGTGGAACTGGGTCGGACATACACTAAGGACACAGTCGAGCGACATTTCACTGCAGGCGCTGGTGTGTCAACTCACTAGTAGACAGCGACTGTCACATCAGAAGGTGATATGGAGTAGATCGTGAGAGGAAGAGATGAGAGCCTGTAAACAATTGTCTAGCCAGCAGAAGATTACTGCAGAAAAGAGGACAAAATGCGGATGGTCTGTTGAGGTATTGTATTCTACTCTGAACCCAACAGAACTATAATAAAAAAAAATAATACCCAGAGAATATTAAACAACAAATCAGGGAGGTAAAATTGACTCTGAGTCCATGGTAATGAAAGTGGTCGAATCTAAGACTTCTTAACACAAAGCTCCAGCTCTTCATTGGGTGTGGCTAGAGCTCGAACTGTATGAAGAAGATGTAAGCGAAATCTGCTTGAACAGCTTGAATCTTAATGTAAACATACCTCTGAGACAAGTCTCTTCTGATTCTGTATGAATGAAAGTAACAATGACCTCCATGATCGGCTAGTCAACTAACCCGTTTTTTCCTTTCGACATTTACAGTAATCAATATTGGCATGTCTCAACCATTTCCTCATTTCAGCCAGTGTTTGCAAAGACCATCTGAGATCTTATTTTCTCTATTGACAAGTAGTTTTACTATCCAGCTTTTTTATGATATTATCCAGAGCGAAGAGGAAAACTATATTATTTAATATTAATCATATATTTTATTAATATTAATCAAATTTTTTGAATTAAAATACTATCTCAAACTTTCTTCACTTTGTGTTTACTTTTCCAAATTGTAGATGAATTCAATGAACTGATCAAGCAATATAGTAAACTCTATGGCCGGTTCAAGACTGCTGAATGTGAGTGGAGTTAATTCTAGCTTGATCAAGTTTTGGTCCCTAGGGTTTTGATTGATTTCAAGTTTCATTTATGATTTATATCCGTTGGAGAAACATTTAACAGTCCACAGATTGATGGACATCCTCCTTCGACAGTAGTGATCAATATACACCTAATCACTCGCACAAGTACTCAAGCAAGGGCCTACATGTTTAGAGGAGATTCCATTATTAATAAACACATTGGCACGGTATTCAATGCCCAGCCAATAAACACTAACTTCTGCTTATTTGCTTTATATAACATAACCACTAGATTTCCAGTGGGTGTAGTCATGGGTGTGTACTACTGAACAGTCTCGAAACAAGATTGAAGCAGCCGTGCCTAGTTTGCCATAGTCCTCTAGTTGACATCATTCACTACGTGATCAGACCTGAAGTGATTTGCTTAATCGCCTCTTACATCATATGCACATAATCTTCAAACCTCACCAACGCATGTATATTATTCATTCCGGTAATTTAATGTAATTATTAATGATTGAAACCGATTGAGTTGTGGTCTGAATGCAGTGAAACAATCTGCATGTACTACTGTATGGCTATCTGAAACTTCCTTGAGACTTGCATATTCACAGAACACTTAAGAGACAGCAACGGTTGATTATTCCTCGATAGATCTATGTGTAATTCTATTCGATAATAATGAAATGGAAAACTCACATTCAACTCAACAATGCCGTTATACAGACATTTTGACTTCCTTATTATAAAACAAGTACTTGTGATCAAGTAAAACATTCCCAACAATGTGAAATCACAGCTCTGTCAGCAAGTCCTGTCACGAATGAAACCATTCCCGTAGACAATCCATGCTCACAGTGACCTTGAATCACTCAAACAAAATCTCATCATATAACAACACGTTATCAATATTACCAAACAACCTCAAAGAAAAACCAGTTGAACACAGATTCAACAGGGAGCAATTCAAGTAATACTGATCAGTTTAGCAGTTGCACGGATAATTATTACTAAGTTAGTTGAAACGTTCACATAAGTATGTATTCTGCAGTTAGATAGTTCAAAAGCGACTTGATAAACAATTTCCCGTCAATGTGATTACTTCTGAAATATTTGAATGTATTAATCTGTTTTACAGGCGTAGCATTCTTGGCAGTCAGATCACCAGAAACCAATTGGACTGTGAAGGAATTTAACGATGGTGAGATATTTAGGCTTATTTCAGTGATTATAATTAAAATCATAATGACTCTTGACCTTTTATTCAATGACAGCCTACTGATACTTGACGGGGAGATATTTGAGAGCAGGATGGAAGATGCGTTACACTTAGAAATGTTTTGAGTAAGGTGCCTAAGCCATTGTCCTAAGTTTGACCATGCACTGATGCCAGTTAAGGAACTATTGAAAACGACATGAAAGTACCAGAGTGTAGTTTCACTCCAGTATGAGATTCTGCAGCTCGTCTTGCAACTGGAAGGCCTTAAGTTTGAAACCAAGTTCATGCGTTCTGGCAGTGAAACCCAAACTACGATGAAGCAGCTGTCCAGTACTCTTGACTTATTTTCAACCTTTCTCTCACCGACATCAATATGTCAACAAGCTTGAAACAAATCAAGTCAATAAAAACCTAATCCTGAACATTTCTATTTTAATTCAAGGTTATTTTGTTGTAATTTAACAAAAGAGTTAATGAAAGAAATTTTATCACTGTATTGACATAACACAGAGGCATTTTGTCACATAACTGTTCATTTATTTCATGAATAATCTCCATTCAGACGAGCTGTAAATAAAAAATAAAAAAATGAAGAACACTTAGTTCAACAAAGAGCCTCTTGTTCGATGATTTCATTTCTTCCTTCAGCTGTAAGAACATCACATTTATGTACAACACTTTTTTTCCACAAAACAAGTCAGATAGCTACAAAAGTGATGAGTTGTCGTAGTCATTGTCATTTTTGTCAATATCGATCAATGTTATTTGAATGACGTTTTAAGATGAGGAATAATTCATACAAATTTGTTGTGATCAGGATGCAAAAGCAAACAAAGTTGAATGTGGTTTCACGTTAGAGTCGGTAGCACTTGCGAGAGTTGACAAGTTTTGAACAAACCAACGAAGTTGTTAGCATGCAAGTAGAAGTGGTTGAATTATTATTTGCTTTTGTGTGCAGAGATTCGGATTCTCTGTCTGAACGGCTAGAATTTCAGCAAAAGGGTAAAGAAGACGAAAGTGTAGATTACTTTGAAGGCAGAATTTGTTGAGATAGAATGATCACTATTTGATCAATTGTTAAACTATTGATGTCCTGATAGATGCACTGTCGGCATCATTTCGAAAAGTGAAAACTTAGTGATTCTAGTCCCTTTCATGCAAAACTGCATATGAATGTGTTTATACAATTATAGAAATGAACGATTTCGTCGAAGAGAGACACCTCACTGAAATTCTTCTCCCGTACTTCTTCAAAATGTTTTACTCTGATTTATGACAAAATACAGAAATCACACACTTGAGTTTCACTTAGTGAAAGTGAATCGTAATCTGCTTTCACCGTCATCATTACATTCCGTCTATATTTTATTGTGCAAGGAACTCAATCTGTCCGTCGAATGTTCCAATTCCTTGCAGAAGACGTCAAATCTTTCACGTCCAACCTACCCTGTTTTTCAGACCTACTACCTGTGGCTGGTAACCAAACACCAGATCACATGTATGGTTAGCGAGTATTCTACTGCCAGACCGCCCACGCATATCACTCAGCGAAACGGCATTATTTACTGGATGGCTAAGTCAGGAATTCATTTGTTTATTTCTAGATTGACCACGAAATGTTATCATCTAGGGTAACACTAAAACCATCAGGCAGTACTGAACACTTGATGTTTTACATCCTATTTTCGGACTGGTCGACAGTACGCAAACCACTTGAAAACGAATCCAGTAGCTTCTGCTTAGGAGGCAAGGTCATTAACTTTTTGGTCATCAGAACCTGAATCAATGGCTACTCCATGAATTCCACCTTCTACTCATTCGTTGTTTGTTTTATTTTTAGAACAACAGGGGACAATGACATTCATAACTGATTCGCTATTTTCAGCTTTCAGTTCAATTTTGATTGTCCTGTTGATTGATCAGACCGAGATATTCTACTTCTGTATACGTGTCGACCCTACATCTGCGGATGCTTCGAAGATATCTGAAGGCTTCACTCGAAGTGATTTGTTTTATGGTGCTTAGAAGTAAACTGCAGGAGGCATATTTTGAGTTATTTAAGGTTTGTCAGCGGGATGCACCTAAGAACTCCAGTGAATCCTCATGTTTCCACTGAGTCTCGAATCCACCACCCATCGTTTCAAACACCAAAGTACCAACCATTGGACAAATTGGGCCATGATAGCAATATACACTGTATGCTTTATTTATCCCATCAACTGAGAATTCGGGAAATGAAAGTCATTAACCACCTATCCACCAGGAAGTCTACAAAATTCTAATCCCTTGACAGTGAATGTAAAGTAAGCATCAGAACTATAAATATCGCATCTAGAAGTTGTGTAGTTATACTTCGTCGGTATTGTTTTCGAACAATCTGAAATTGTCGTCAAAACGTACTTATCCAGATTATGATACTGTTTCATCCTGTGTGTAACATACAACTTTATGGAATCACACGCTAACACCACAGCCTGCCACTTTCACACACATACTCAGATTATTTTCATATTAACGTTGCTTATGTTATTTTCTCTGTCCTTCAGTTATACGCGACAACAAGGATCAGCTATTTGCAAACATTACCATACTCTATTTGGAGAGTGAGTAATCGTGTTGATTGTGAACGAATTGAAGACATAAAACATCATTCATTGGTGTTAATCAAGACTACCACAAGACCATAAAAACCACATACACACATTCACTCTATTGAGTACTTGTATAACATTTCCATCAACAATCAGTAGGGCTTGTCAACCAGCTAGATCATTTTGATCCGAACACCACTGCATGACAATTTGTTCCCTTCAGGCAGCGAGTTCATCAGCACTGTGACTAGTTTGGTTCGGCTCAAACGACCCGAATTTTGAATGGCTACTTGAGCGAAATGGTAATACATGAAATGATATTTTCAATCTAACTAATTGTAGTAAGCAAAATTTCACCACTTAGTCTCCTTAGGAAACGAATATTATTCAGACCACTCAATATGAGTGTGTAATCTGCTTGATATCATAATTGTTTATAAAAGAAACTGGCCTAAATGGCTGACACCACATTGGCTGCTACTCATTTCACTGATGTGAATACAGTCATACCACAATGAATAATCTCCATTTCCAGAATAGAAAAATCAGCAAATAATCAACTATAAATTGTGTAAACTACGAAGTAATTTGCCAATCGTCAATTCGATTTAAGCTTATTGTAAGGCCCAATCACCTAATATGTCTTCCAATGTAACAGTTACATGCGCATATCGATTCGCGTATAACTCATCTTTATTTTGTGTCCAAATGATTCATGAATTATATTTTCATTGATTACAGAACTAAAACATGACTGCAGATGGTTCGCTGAGGAATTGTTTGGGCTGTATAGGAAAATTATAGGTATGATTAACTTACAGAATAACCCCTTATAACGTGGCGAAGAATGGATAACATTGACATTTTATACTAACAAGTGGAGATACTGACACGATAAACCCTTGGAAAGAAATATTTACAGAGATGCGATTCAATCAGTGTCAAACCATTACTCAATTTTGATCACCAATACTTAATATCTGTTTGAGGAGCACTGAAGGCCGTCTGTGAGAACTGGACAGCTGTAATGTAGTAGTTTGGCACTGTTCAACAGTGCGCATCAATGAACCCACGCATTGAGGATCGAAATCAACAGCTTCAGGTCAGGAGGTGAGATCGTTGACAACTTATTCATTGGGATGGGATGTAGTCACCTAATCATTAATGTCGATAGCGTACACTGAGGTTCCTGCGTTCAATCTTCAGTGAGTTGGTTAATGTGCTCGTACCATGATAGTGGCCTGCTTTGACCTTAGACTACTAAAAAATTCTTCATCATTATATCGCATCCAATCTCGTGTATTCACTTGATTTGAACTGATTAACCTAATTAGATCTCTGAATGGTTACAGACCGTTCCGAAAAGGTAGGTGTGTCTCTGCGTCGGTGTTACAGTAGTTATGACTCGCCGACCATGCACATGGTCCGAGGTTCGATCCCCTCCCGACGCACACGCGATATCTATGGTTGGTCTGTCAAATTTGGGCTACTGATATCACATGCTGAAAATCCCATAATTCTACCAAAAAAATACGTTGTGGCATCAAGCTGTAATGCAAAAAAATCAAAGCTCGGATTTTGCGTTGTAACCCTATTCAATCCTTAGTTGTGGTCAACTTACAATAACGCACACTTCAGATTCTTAAACAACAAAACCGACTGCATTACGGTGAAATGTAGCCTGAGGCATCTGCCTGTCTGCGTACAACTAAAGCTGCATTCCGAACATTTATATTGCACCTGAGTATAGTCTCTCAGAACTAACCTCATTTGCTAATGATTTTACTTCTTTGGCTACCATCTCTCATGCCAACTCTTTTTCAATAGTTACTGAACATTCGCGTCCCTTTGACTTCAGGTTCCCGATATCTTTAGGAAATGACAATACTGTTCCCACGATTCTAGTAGATATGTCACTTGGAACCAAGTCGACTGGTAAATACGTTTGAATATGTGCTTCCTCCTACATAATTCAGTCCCTACTCTGATAGTTTGTTGATTTCTGTGTTGCTGCTCTATATCTCCCTCTAACTATCCCCCGGCCTGCTTAAGAAATACTTCGTTACATTTCGAAAGGTGGTAAAAGCTGCTGTTATGACCGTTGAGATGTCACCAAACCAAATTGTTAATACTATTGTAAACAGATACGAGATCAGACACAAGAGAACAGCTAATATCATCGTGTCGGACTCTGAACAGCCTCCCTATACACAACTCTCATGTCCGACTTCATCAGCTAGGACTATAAGCAGCCATAGAAATTCCTATGCTCTGACGACTGTGTATGAAATCCTGCTGCGCCTTATTCAGACAGGACACATTTTTATTATGTAGAAACTTAGGGCATGACAGTACTAATTCACTACGCAAGCAGCGCGTGGACGCTCCTCT